TATTAAAGTGAAGATTCACTCCTTTCACTACATGGTTTTGATCAAGCTACAGATATTGTCTCACTAGATAACCTGTAACTCATCCATGAATTCAAGATTGGACAACATCTCACTACTTTCTGAAAATACAGGCTGTAGACCATCTGTTAAGGTGACATTTATGTGATTTTTATCTGATATTCTCTCATGTATAAACTTTAATTAAAGCCACATATTGTAGATGTTTTCTTTTCCACCAGTAAATTGGAGCAGAACCATTCTCATGTTTTGGGTACTTCATTGACAGGAGAAAAAGAGACAGATAGCAAAAAGGGCAGATTTTTGATTCACAAGTTCTAATGAGTAGATTCAAGCTATTGACTCACTGTCTTGATTTAAAAATAAGTGTTATGAATCTGGATCATCTGGTTCCAACTAATGAGCAAAAAGCTACTTAACACTTCCATGAATTTAGTCATATATTTCATTAGCAAAGACTCAGCTTGCTACAAGATGTAATATTTTAGGTCTTATTTGGTTTTAAATTATTTCCTTAACTGCTCAGGGATGTAAGGATGTTAATAGGCAATCAGAGGCACAAGGGAAAGAAATTTAACTCCTAAAGAGCTAGTAGCTAGATTATTAGCTAGTTTTGCCTCCACTATAATATTCCCCCCTCACTTCCACTCAACAGGCAGTCTTTTCCAAGCAAGAGGGCTAAGCAGTTTGATCTATTTCTGTGCAAGTTGTCCATTACGGTTTAGGTACTAGTACAAGGAACTCTTGATTTGATCTCATTTTCTCCCTGTTACCAAGCACCTAATGATTTGAGTCACTCAGCTTCCAGGACATGTGTAGTTTCATACATTTGCAAAGGTTGATGCTCAGCATAGTGCATGAATAAATTGTGCTCCCAAGTCAGTATCACATTGCATTTTAAACTGATTCTTTTTAACATGCTATCATAAGACATCACCTACCCACGAGTTGCATGTATAAACAGGCCTACATTTAGAATGTGTTGAAAAATGACTTAATTGAGCCCAAGCACAGAATTCCCTGAACAGTGAACATCACAGATTAAGAGCAGATGTTCAGGAGGTTATGTAGAGGGAGAGCTAATACTAGTTTAGTTATAATGGTTACAGGGTGGCTGTTACTTTCTGATGTAATGGAATTAATACACTCAAAAGAACATCAACAAATTACACAATCGGGTCTGATTAAAATTTTGGTTGTTACTGCAAGCAATTCAGTAAACCATGGTGCAATTCGTAAACATAGTTGAAGTCAGTGGCCGTAGTTGACTTGAGTCTACACCATTATAGAGAATATGTGAGAATTGACATGGGTCTCCATTTCTGTTTGCTTTTATATTAAATGTGACAGAAATAAATGCAATGTAAAACTAGCTGGATAAAAAACTGTCCTGTACTCCAAAATAATATGCAGAAAAGGTAATAAAGAACTAATGAATTTTCCAGTGCTCCAAGGATTGCTATCACAGGAGCCAAAAATTTGAATTTTAATTGTAATTGTCCAAACCAAAAACCTAATTATCATCTCCTTAAGAATAAAAACCATATTCTTTTTTTACTATGTGTATTTACTATGCATCTCTTTCTATTAATTGAAATTGAAATTAAAAGTCTCTTTTTCCCCTGTCCTGAAGACAGATAGGTGAATATAATGGTGATCATTTACAGTAATCTAGGCTGTTACTATAGCAACAGAATCTGTAACATATCTGAAGTACAAGCTGTGAAGCTAGCAGTAAAATCAAAAATGTCGGTTTAATAAAGTGAATCAGATTTTTCTGAAGGCCGTTTAAATGTGTTTGTTATATTTTATGTGAAGATTTCTGAATTTGCCCCAAACCAACTGTCTTTAGGCTATCTCTAACAGGGAACGTATCCAGAGCTGCAAACAATATAAAATATAGATATACTTTTTTAAAAGGGAGGGTTAGAACAACTGGAATGAGTTGCCAGGGAGGTGAAAGGGGCTGCGACATGGAATTACTGAAGCGGTAGGAATGTAGAGTCACAGGGTTATCAACTCAAAGAGGACATATTCCTGGGGGTTTCTGCCCACAATCTCCCTACTTGTAATCAGCCCAGCTAAATAAATTTCTTATCCATCCACAACAGCTTATGACCAAATACACAGAAATTTTCAAACAAAAAATGATAAATGAAAATCTTCTGTTTAATGTCCAGCTGATTTTTCACCAAAGTTGCTTGCAGCAGCATTGGGGACATTAATTTTTAATTCCTGGAGAGTTCAGGCTGCCAATCCTGAGGTTTTTACTTGGAATGGTTCAATATTTTTGTAGCAATGTATCCCATGATCAAGTTCAGGAAATACCCCCCATTCTCAAAGTTGTCTGAATGATCGATGGATTGTTCTGAAGGTTGAACAATAAACATTGGTTTTCACTCACCTGCTGACTCAAAATGGGTGGAGGGAACTATTTCTCAACTGGAACAGAAATGCCTGAGGCTCGATCAATATTCGGCCTTGCTCCTCATTTTAATGACTGGCAAACTCCACAGACCTATTATGTATTCCTAAGTAGCTGGCCAGTAAAGCAAAGATGGATGAAGGAGTCATGCTGCCGTCAGCTCCACACTCAGGTAAATAATTTTCAATTAACTCAGCCTTTTCGTGGCAACTTCCATGCAGCCTCTCAAAGGACAATGGTGCATGGACCTCTAGCAAGCCACTCAGTTCGAGTAATTAGGGGTGAGCAATAAATGTTGATGATACTAGTGATGCCCATGTCCCATGAAAGAATGAAGAAAATGAACCATGGAAAGGTTTTAGGAGAATTTGAGATGACAATGAAGTTGTGTTACATCTCTTTAACTTAGTCGATGGAGTATCCAATACTTTATGTGAAAGAAGAGCTGATAATGTAATTAGAGTGCAACTTGGTTAAGATGCTCTTTCCTAGAGTGTGAACCTGATACAGCCAGAAACAGGGCAGTTGGGGGAGGGAATGGTTTGTAAAGAAAGCAAGAAGTTTGGAAAATCCGAGGCTACTCTCATTTTTAACCATTCCACAAACCAAAACGGGTCAGTGGGGGGTGGGGGTGGGGGCAAGACAGAGGGATGAGTTAAACATCTATCCTCAAGTATGTATGAATCTTAGTTCCTGGGATCAAGATAAATATAAAACTATTTTATGTGGAAGCTGGTATCTATGCAATGCTTTATTGAAATTCTAGTGTGACAAGAAAATACTTTGATCAGGCTTGAAATATGGCACCGATCCGTCCGTTTCTTACATGGAAGAACTGAGTACTTCTGCACAAGTTGCAGACCTTCGCTTGAAGTTTGCTAAGACTAGCGGAAACATCCACTGATTCCTACTGGGATGTGTGCACCAATATGTCCTGCAAAAACTAAGGCTCTGACCCTGATGCATTTGCACCAAGTCAGAAAGCAGAAGGAAGAGATGTGGGCATTTTTAAAAAATTTATTCATGGGATGGGGGCCTTGTTGGCTAGGTCAGCATTTATTGTCCATCCTTAGTTGCCTTTGAGAAGGGAGGAAATTCCAGGATTTTGATCCAATGGCACTGAAGGAATGTCAAAATATTTCCCTGTCAGGATGGTAAATAGCTTGGAGGGGAACTTTCAGGTGGTGATATTCTCTTGTATCTGCAGCTGTTGCCCTTTGAAATGGTAATGGTCATGGGTTTGGAAGTTGCTGTCCAAGGATATTTGGTGAATTTCTGTTGTGCGTCTAGTAAATGGTACACACTGCTGCTACTGAGCATCAGTGGCGGAGTGATTGGTTATTTATGTCATGCCAACCAAGCAGGCTTCTTTGTCCTGGATGGTGTGAAGCTTCTTGAGTGTTATTGGAGTTGCATACATCCAGACAAGTGGGGAATATTCCATCAGACTCCTGACTTGTGACTTGTAGAAGTTGGAAAGGCTTTGGGAAGTCAGGAGATGAGTTAATCACTGTAGTATTCATAGCCGCTGACTTGCTCTTGTCACCAATGTATTTATGTGGCAAGTCCAGTTCAGTTTCTGGTCAATGGTAACTCCCAGGTTGTTAATAATGGGGAGGTTCGGTAATGGTAACAACATTGTACATTAAAGATTGATGGTTAGATTGTCTTTTATTAGAGATGCCCATTGCCCAGAATTTTACCCAAATGATAGTTGCTGCTTGTTAACCCAAACCTAGATATAGACCAGGTCTTGCTGAATTTGGACATGGACTGCTGAAGAGGAGTCACGAATGGTGCTAAACGTTGTGCACTCATTGACGAATATGCCCACTTCTGACATTATGAAGGAGGAAAGTTCATTGATGAAACAGCTGAAAATGATTGGGCTGAGGACACGATCTTGAAAAATTTCTGAAAATATGTCCTTGTCCTGAGATGATACACTTCCAATCAACACAACCATCTTCCCATTTTCTAGCCATGACTCCAGCCAGCTTAGACTGGTGCTCCAAAATAGCCTTAATCACTTGAGAAGGAAAGGCAGGAAATAGAAGCTTGTGAGAAATTAAACTACATTAACAGTTAGTGTTTAGGGGGGATGGGTGGTGTCGAAATCCTGTGGCATCTGCAAAGCCAGAAGAATTTCTAAAGAGACTGTGATTTTCTCCTGTAAATTAAGTGCTGATGCAAGAGTCTGAGAAAGTATTCTGAATTTAATTTCAGACCATCATTAAATTGGTTAAAATATTGTTTAAAAACAGCAACTAATGGCGCGGACTCAAATGAAGTAACATTTATTCCACAAAAGGATCTAGCTTTAACAGCTTATTATTTAAATGAATAATTTACTTATGTTCATTTATCTGCACATTTTTGTGTGTAAATTTATTTACTAGAGGCCATAAAGTCTTCAGTTTGGTTGGCCCCAGGAAACTGCGTCCTGCTAAAGATTTCCTTGTAACAGATATACACAAGGATTTCAATTTGTACATCCAAATGCCCAATAAATCAGTTGCGATAATGCACATAGTGTTCATTATTAAAGGCTTCTTACCTGGTAACCAGAGTCATTACAAGTCATGTAGCATTTTCCACAGTTAATGCACATTTCTTCATCAATCAAAGCTACTACGTGCTCCTTGTTATTCAGGACACCATAGGCTCCAATATGTGGCAGAGTTCTACCAATTATTTCCTGCATAAGTACATGAGAAATGTTCAGCGTAATTTAGAAAGGCAAAAATATGTAGAAATTTTCAAGCAATTTACAAACTTTGATAAATGTGTGGGCTAGTATAGTACAGGTTAATAGTCCATGAGCCAAATGTCTGGTATTTTAATATTGTATTTTCAGAATAATTACACATGAATAAAAAATAAAGCTCTAGTTCTGAGAATAATAACATTCAAGTAACCAAACCTGATTATTTCATGAACTAAGCAATTATTTTACTGAATTATTCCATGTTTTTAACTTTGCTTCATCTTTTATCTCAGAAACGATTTTGAAGCTCTGTTCCACTCAGTCGTGTAATGTGAATGTTATTGTCAAGGCTTGCATTTATTTCCTGTACATAATTGACCTTGAGAATGTAGTGGTGATCCACTTTCTTGAACTGCTGTTGTAGTGTACCTTGGAGGTGGTGGTGTTCCCAGGCACCTGCTGCACTTGTTCTTCTTAGAACATAAAACAGTAAAGTACAGGAACAGGCCCTTCAGTCCACCATGTGCATTCCAACCATGGTGCCATCCTAAACTAATCCCATTTGCCTGCACATGGAGCATATCCCTCTATTTCCTGACTGTTCACGTGTCTGTCCTAATGCCTCTTACTTGTTGCTATCGTATCTGCTTCTACCACCTCTGCTGGCAGCATGCTCCAGGCACCTACCACCCTCACTGTGAAAAAAACTAGCCTCGCACATCTTCTTTAAGCTTTTCTCCTCTCACCTTAAACCTATGCCACTGGGAAAAGAAGACTCGGCTGTCCACCATACTCATGCCTCTCATACTATTATATGCTTTGATCAGGTTGCCCTACTTCCTCCCACTAATAAGCATCTGATGCTCTTGCAAAAACAATCCAAGTTGGACAGCCCTCTCCAAGGTCTCCACATGCTTCCTATAGTGTGGTAACTGGATCTGCACACAATACGCAAATATAGCCCAACTAAAGTCTTATACAGCTGCAACCTGACTTGTTGACATTAATACTCAATGCTCTGACTGATGAAGACAAGCATGCCATCTGCCTTCTTGACCGCCTTGTCTACTTGTGTTTCCTCTTCCAGGGACAAAGTCAGAAGTCACACAACACCAGGTTAAAATCCAACAAGTTTATTTGAAATCACAAGCTTTCAGAGCGCTGCTCCTTCATCACCTGACCCTCAGGATGTTAATGGTGGAGGAATAACAAAGGAAAAATCATTGATTCTCTTTCGTTGGAGATGGTCATTACTTAGCTTGTGTGACAAGAATGTTACTACTTGCTTATCTGAATGTTATACTTATTGCACTATATTAACATTAACTATTTTCCCCAATCCATTTTACAAAGTGGTATGATTCTTTTAAAACAGCACAATGACTTTGAAGGATGCTGTAGTGACTGATTGAGAGAAACCTAAGAAAAGTATTTGGTGATGACCATAAATTGGAAGCATATCTACTGCTGATGACTGAGAAAGCCTATTTAAAAGAAAACAGCAGCTATATTTAACCCTTATTTTAAGATACACATTTTTTTAATTCATAAAGATGCATATTCTTGAAAAGAACTGAAATGTTCCAATAAAACTGTACAGTGTTGTAAAAATATAATTACACATATTTTTTACATTAATGTAATATCTGAGTGTTTCCTTTTTGATTTAATTGATATAAGAAGTTGAATATCTACTCAGAGATGGGGAAGATGTGGTTTTGGTGGAGAAGGAGGATGGTAGAAGGGTGGGGGAAGTAGTATTTGCTTCCCTGAAGTCAGGAAACCCAGTGAACAGTTTTCTCTCAAACCCTGCAGTATTTATTAACAGGACCTTAGTGACTGGCATTTCTTGGCTATTGCGAGCCACTTTGAGAGCCTGTCTGTCTCTCAGTCATTTAGTGGGAGTGGAGGAGGACAAATGAAAGCTGGGAAGACTGGGGGAAAAGGAGGCTGTGACTTGGATGCTGGTGAGGGTCACATGGATTTTGGGGGAGGGAAGAGGAGTCAGAGATCGGCGGTTGGGAGCAGTAGGATTGGAGATCAGTGCCCTATGGGATCAGAGGCTGGGGTTGGGCAGAGTATGGCACTTGGAATCTGGGGGTTGGGGTGAGAGTGGTGGGTATTTGGGAGGAACATTGATGTTTGGAGGAATGTTGTATAAGACATGAGGCAAAGGGGGCAAAGTTGAGTTTGGAAAGTCTGAGGATGGAGATTGTTGACTTGCAGAGTTTGAGTGCAGCAGAGAATCTGGATCTGGCAGGAAAGTGGCACTTACCTTTAGAAATGACAGTTTTCACTTTCCTTTATCTGCAGGGCTTCTCAAGGCTCAGAACACCCAGTTAGCCAAAGTTCAATTTATAGTCATGGGTCACAATGCAGCACATGGCCTGATATAACATTTAAATTTCCAACCCACATCCTGGGCATGGGTTGATGACTTGACTCCAGCTTGCTTGTTAAAACTGGTTGTAAGTGGGTTAGAGTCAGTATTCACATTTTAGTGACTTAACTTCTCATTTCACCTAAACCTGGAGATTAAAACTCCCCACTCCTTATGTACTTGAAGTCAGGAAGTAAATCCTCTGTTAACATCTGAGACATGTCTAATTGGACAACACTCCTCTGCCAAATCCATGTTTGCTGCAGTATCATTTTGGCATTTTGTTCTCTATTTTCAACTTCTTTCTTATCTCTGCCTCTTCTGCTCCCTTGAATAATCATTAGAATATCTTTATGGACTTTGAAAGTGCTAACAAAGCAATTTCTTTTCCTGCTGGCCAGCAACATAAAAAATTGATATTATCACGCAGCTTTTCCAACAATTCATTTTTCATCTTTTTGTACTTGCAACCTATTGCTAGATTTCATCTCTCACTTTCTTTTCAAAAGTCCTTGAATGTGTTCTTTCCCAAATTCTTCCCAGACAATTCTGTCTAAATCTCCAAACAGAATTGTACCCTTAAAACTGTACCAGCCAAATTCACAATTCACATTGTCTATTAGTATGGTCCTTGTAGACCTTGGCTGTTTTTCGTGTGATTGAGCACACCATCTTCTGCCAACATCTCTTCTAAGTTTTCCAACTCATGGGATGACTGATCTGATTGCAATCAGAATTCCCCAACAGTTAGATAATCTTTCTGATCTCCATAATGTACATGTCTCCAAGGAATTTTGTTTTAATCTGGCTCCAACTTCCTCATGGACCTGTCTCCCATTGGCAACATAGACTTGGAGGTGATTCCACCTCTCCATCTCCTCTCTTGACCATTCCATCCTCTCTGTCCTGTTGAGTTGAGTGTTAGAATGGACAAAACCATTGAATTTCCCTCCAACAAATTTTGTACCCTTCTGCCTAGCCAAATCAGATTGCTGATGATCTTGGTGTCCCATTAAACCCTAAGATATATTTCTGATTTCTGATCCTCTCCATCTCAAACACTGCTTTACATTCACCTCTGTAACAATGGTTGCATCTGTTTGTCCCTTAAACCATAGAAAGCAGAAATTCTAAATCATGCTTCTGTCACTTCTGGCATTGTTTTATCCATTGTATTCCTGGCTAATCTGTACTTCCATAAACTTCAGCTGATCTCTCTATCTGAAATTTGTACCCCAAGTCCAGCTCACCTATTACGCGTGTCTTTGCGGACCTAAACTGAGAACCAATTGCCTGTAATTTCAAATTTAAAATTCTCGCACTTGTATTTAAGTCCATGTAAAGTGTCACATTGCCCTTTCATTGAAATCTCCAGGCATAATATCTCTTCATACCTCTGCTATGAATTTGCTCAACCACCACTTCTTTTGCCCTGATGTGGTAGTGATGCCTTCAGCCAGCTCATCATCCTGGTGCTTTTTTCTTAAAATCCTCTATCTGTCCCTTCTCCTTTAAGACTCTGTGTAAGACCTGGTTCATCCAGAAGGCTTTTGGTCATCACCTTGTAATATTTCATTCTTTGGCTTGCCAGTCAATTTTTTCCATACGTCACTGTGAAGTATGATGTGTTTTTGCCTTCCATGTTAAAGGTGTAACTTATCTGCAGGTTTTAACTATCATTGGTCTTATTACCTGAACTCTTGGAATGGGCTTCTTGACTGTATATGGTGTTTCATCAGGGTCCTGATACATCTCATTCAGCTCCTTCTGTTTCAGTTTATGGTCTGCTATAATCCTCTTACGTTTCTCCAGGTAGGGGCCAAAACTGGGCAAATGCTGAAAAATAGCCACAGAGGAAAAAAAAATGATATTAATTTGGTTCTACAAGAACCTTTACACTTACCCTGGTCCTAGCAATGAGCATATATTTATATCAAAAATAGAGATTGCTAGAAAAGCTCAGCAGGTCTGGCAACCTCTGTGGAGAGAAATCAGTGTTAATGTTGCAGGTCGAGTGACCCTTCCTCAGAATGTATTTATAACGTTTAATATTAAACATTAACAGGGACTAGAAATTTCAAAAGCCTGCATTTTGCTCTACTTTGTCTCAGTTTTGACGTATTACTTTGCTCGCTTTAATATTATTACTGGAGGACGGAAAAAGAGATTTAAGACTGAGGCAAAAGAACCAAAATTGCTGCTTCTTCTTTGTTCCAAATGACTCCACCAGGAATTGAAATTGACAACATTTTTTTCTCAAAAAAGATGCAGTAGATTTCCACTGAGGAGAAATGATCTGGTAGGAATCAGTTGCAGTTAACTCAGTGATGGAGTAGCTACTCTCTGAGACAGAGTATCAATCTGTCCAGTGTGGACTTGGTTTAAATTGTTTCATTAAAGATTTAGAGTTACTGCCAGTACAAGAGGGCTGCCCCAGGGGTAGCCTTAACCAGAGGCAAAACATTCAACACATCACCTACCATAACGCTTTTAAATAATTTAATATGTTAGTGTTATGCTCCCCCAGCATCTCCATCAGCTACACTAGCAACAGGGTCAGGACACTTTAAATTGATTAGTCATAAATGTGAAAATCGAAGATGTATATTTCAGTCTTCGTTGTTCAAAATCAGATATGAACAAATCTTGAAATTTGGGTTAGATAGCTCAGTGCAGCAACGATTCGCCAACCCCCTTTTCCCCACCAGGGAGCCATATTCAATAGGTAGTGTGGGTTAGTGATGGAGCTGTAAACAATGTGGATCCAGCTCAGACCAGCTTTACTTTTCTGAGAATTCAGCTTTGCATAATACCGAAGAAGAACTAATCAGAGAACAAACTTAAACTAGTCAGTTCTCCCATGGCCCTGCTTGTACTGAAAGTAGAGGTGCTAGTCAGAGTAGAAATGAAAGAATAGGCAGGATAAATGAATGGCTTGAGAGATGGTGCAGGAGGGAGGGGTTCAGATTTTTGGGACATTGGGACCGGTTCTGGGGGAGGTGGGAATATTACAAATCGGACGGTCTACACCTGGGCAGGACTGGAACCAATGTCCTAGGGGGTGCTTTTGCTAACGCTGTTGCGGAGGGTTTACACTAATGTGGCAGGGGGATGGGAACCAAATGAGGAGGTTAGTGGACAGTAAGGAGGTAGTAACTAAAGTCTGTAAGGAACTAGATAATGAAGTCAGTGTGACTAAGGGGAACAGTAGGCAGAGAGCAGATGATGAACGCAAAGGGACAGGTGGTCTGAGGTGCATTTGTTTTAATGCGAGAAGTGTAGTAGGTAAGGCAGATGAACTTAGGGCTTGGATTAGTACCTGGGAGTATGATGTTATTGCTATTACTGAGACTTGGTTGAGGGAAGGGCAAGATTGGCAACTAAATATCCCAGGATATAGATGCTTGAGGCAGGATAGAGAGGGAGGTAAAAGGGGTGGAGGAGTTGCATTACTGGTCAAAGAGGATATCACAGCTGTGCTGAAGGAGGGCACTATGGAGGACTCGAGCAGTGAGACAATACGGGCAGAGCTCAGAAATAGGAAGGGTGTGGTAACAATGTTGGGGCTGTACTACAGGCCTCCCAACAGCAAGCGTGAGATAGAGGTACAAATATGTACACAGATTATGGAAAGATGTAGGAGCAACAGGATAGTGGTGATGGGAGATTTTAATTTTCCCAACATTGACTGGGATTTACTTAGTGTTAAGGGTTTAGATGGAGCAGAATTTGTAACAAGCATCCAGGAGGGTTTTCTAGAGCAGTATGCAAATAGTCCAACTTGGGAAGGGGCCATACTGGACCTGGTATTGGGGAATGAGCCCGGCCAGGTGGTTGAAGTTTCAGTAGAGAATTACTTTGGGAATAGTGATCACAATTCCGTAAGTTTTAGAATACTCATGGACAAAGACGAGAGTGTTCCTAAGGGAAGAGTGCTGAATTGGGGGAAGGCTAACGATAGCAAAATTTGGCAGGAGCTGGGCAATGTGGATTGGGAGCAGCTGTTTGAGGATAAATCCACATTTGATATGTGGGAGGCTTTCAAAGAGAGGTTGATTAGAGTATAGGACAGACATGTCCCTGTGAAAATGAGGGATAGAAAGGGCAAGTTTAGGGAACCATGGATGACAGGTGAAATTGTGAGACTAGAAAAGAGGAAAAAGGAAGCATACATAAGGTCTAGGTGACTGAAAACAGACGAAACTTTGGAAGAATATCGGGAAAGTCGGACCAATCTGAAACGAGAAATTAAGAGGGCTAAAATGGGTCATGAAATATCTTTAGCAAACAGGGTTAAGGAAAATCCCAAAGCCTTTTATTCATACATAAGGAGCAAGAGGGTAACTAGAGAAAGGGTTGGCCCACTCAAGGACAAAGGAAGGAAGTTATGCAAGGAATCAGAGAAAATGAGTGAGATTCTTAATGAGTACTTTGCATCGGTATTCACTGAGGAGAGGGACATGACGGATGTTGAGGTTAGGGATAGATGTTTGATTACTCTAGGTTAAGTCAGCATAAGGAGGGTGGTAGTATTGGGTATTTTAAAAGGCATTAGGGTGGACAAGTCCCTAGGTCTGGATGGGATCTATCCCAGGTTACTGAGGGAAGCGAGAGAGGAAATAATTGGGGCCTTAATAGATATCTTTGCAGCATCCTTGAGTATGGGTGAGGTCCCGGAGGACTGGAGAATTGTTAGTGTTGTCCCCTTGTTTAAGAAGGGTAGCAAGGATAATCCAGGTAAGTATAGGCCAGTGAGCCTGACGTCAGTGGTGGGGAAGCTGCTGGAGAAGATACTGAGGGATAGGATCTATTTACATTTGGAAGAAAATGGGCTTATTAGTGATAGACAGCGCGGTTTTGTGCAGGGAAGGTCATGTCTTACCAACTTGATAGAATTCTTTGAGGAAGTGACAAAGTTGACAGATGAGGGAAGGGCTGTAGATGCCATATACATGGACTTCAGTAAGGCATTTGATAAGGTTCCCCATGGTAGGCTGATGGAGAAAGTGAAGTCGCATGGGGTCCAGGGTGTACTAGCTAGATGGATAGAGAACTGGCTGGGCAAAGGGAGACAGAGAGTTGTAGTGGAAGGGAGTTTCTCAAAATGGAGAACTGTGACCAGTGGTGTTCCACAGGGATCCGTGCTGGGACCACTGTTGTTTGTTATATACATAAATGATCTGGAGGAAGATATAGATGGTCTGATTAGCTAGTTTGCAGATGACACTAAGATTGGTGGAGTAGCAGATAGCGAAGGGGACTGTCAGAGAATGCAGCAGAATATAGATAGATTGGAGAGTTGGTTGGAGAAATGGCAGATGGAGTTCAATCCATGCAAATGTGAGGTGATGCATTTTGGAAGATCCAATTCAAGAGCGAACTATATGGTAAATGGAAAAGCCCTGGGGAAAATTGATGCTTATAGAGATCTGGGTGTTCAGGTCCATTCTACCCTGAAGGTGGCAACGCAGGTCGATAGAGTAGTCAAGAAGGCATACGGCATGCTTTCATTCATCAGACGGGGTATTGAGTACAAGAGTTGGCAGGTCATGTTACAGTTGTATAGGACTTTGGTTCGACCACATTTGGAATACTGCGTACAGTTCTGGTCACCACATTACCAAAAGGATGTGGATGCTTTGGAGAGGGTGCAGAGGAAGTTCACCAGGATGTTGCCTGGTATGGAGGGCACTAGCTATGAAGAGAGGTTGAGTAGATTACAATTATTTACATTAGAAAGACAAAGGTTGAGGGGGGACCTGATTGAGGTCTACAAAATCATAAAAGGTATAGACAGGGTAGATAGCAAGAAGCTTTCTCCCAGAGTGGGGGACTCAATTACTAGGGGTCACGATTGCAAGGTGAGAGGGGAAAAGTTTAAGGGAGATATGCGTGGAAAGTTCTTTACGCAGAGAGTGGTGGTTGCCTGGAACGTGTTGCCAGCGGAGGTGGTAGAGGCGGGCATGATAGCATCATTTAAGATGTATCTGGACAGATACATGAATGGGCAGGGAGCAGAGGGATACAGATCCTTGGAAAATAGGCGACAGGTTTAGATAGAGGATCTGGATTGGCGCAGGCTTGGAGGGCCGAAGGGCCTGTTCCTGTGCTGTAATTTTCTTTGTTCTTTGTTCTTTTGTTACTGAAAGATTGTGAATGACTAGAAGTGATGCAGAGAATCCATGTGAATGACAGGAAGCCAGTGATTCACTGTTGTATATTACCAGGAACTTTCCAGGCCTGAATTCTTCTGTTTTCATCAACTGTCCTGCTTGCTTGCTGAGGTGGTAGTGAGACACCCGAGCTGTGACCTTTTCACAGCAGGTCTCACTGGATCTTTCTTCAATCAGGCGGTTTGGAGGGCAGTGGTGGGCCTTTCTCTGAAATCAAGACCCCTGGGGGCTGAATTCCCACCTAGCGAGGGCTGCTGACTGTGCTCAGTACAGAGGGATGTCACAGGCTGGCCGAGGCTCCAGGCCGTGGTTAGGCCTGGGTGCCTGCATTGTCAGCACAGACTCACTTAGTGGCCCACCTCGCTTTCTGGAGATAAAACCTTAAGTTCTGGAAGTTCTCCTTTCCTCTTGGCTCTGCTTCTTTTATTCCTGCCTTTGCTTTTTTGTTAAGTTCTGGTTTTTGTATTTAAGATGTTTTCTTTTCTCTAATGTGATGGCCTAGTGGTAATATCGCTGGACTGTTAATCCAGAGATTCAGATAATGTTCTGGGGACCCAGGTTCGAATCCCGCCACAGCAGATGGTGGAATTTGAACTCAATAAATATCTGAGTTAAGAGTCTAATGATGACTGTGAATTCATTGTTGATTGTTGGAAAAACCCA